GTCTGTCGGTAACATTTATTTTTCAGTCTCCAGATTTGGCTGCACCTGCCCCTTCCAAGACAGGTCTTACTCAGCCATGACTGCTACATTTCATGATATGATCTTGTTTCCTGCCCATGAGACATGGTTAGTAATTGACTAAGCAGGAAAAGAGGGGTGGGAAAGTGATAAAGTCACACTTTGAAGAATAAAGAGGTCAATAACAAAATTGAATCTCTTCATCATTACACAATTCCTATTTGTAAGTATCTCATACTCTGTTGTAAAGAGCTTTCCCATGCCAGATCTGTCTAGATGTGAGCAATAGATAGACAGAGGTAAAGAGTGAATGAATAAATGAATGAATCTTTGTATTACAAAATCTCTCAGATCAGCCTAACACCTGTAGTCCATAGGGTGTTTCCCCAAACTGTCTGACTCTACTTTTGCTTACAAAATTAGGTTCTTCAGAGAAGTTTATAAATTCGTATCCTTCACGAAACTGAGAGTGCTGTAAATGGCAGCCATTTCGATAACTTTATCACCACTTTTATCAAAATAATTTTTATTAAAATATTGAAATTTTATCCCACTATTCCATGATCACTGTCATTAATAATAAGTAAAATACATGACTATTAATATCATATTAAATAATTTTCCCTTCTCTTCTACAGTCATTATCTATTGAGGCCAGTCCCCAGCAGCTTTAGCTTTAGCTTAATGTACTAGCTAAAACTGGCAGACTGATCTGCCTCAGCTGACAGCCAGGACACTCTCAGCAAACTAGCTCTGCTACTGGCAAACTAACTTGTATGTTGAAACAACTCACTAATAAGGAGATGGAAATATACATGTCTAATAAGGAATTTTTTTTACATGATTACCAGTCGATATGATTAGGTAGTTGCAGTTGTCTTCATTGCTTGAAGATGTCGTTGCTGATCATCAATGCAAGTGCAGACGACTCATTCAGTATGTCAATGTGTATGCAAATCTATGTTCCTTCAAGCATGTCTGAAAAGCAGCTGGATTCCCTGGCAATTATTTTAATTGAAGAGAGAATTGCTGACCAGACTACCAAAAATTCAACRGTGCTAACACCATATTGTTGCCATAAAAAACATAGGCTCAAAAATAAAGTAAAGTGTCCTTTGTACTTCTTTAATTGTTTAGATCTCATGAAGTTATCCAATTTGATTATATTCAGTCAAGTGGTCATAATATACTTTCACTGGAATGTTGTTGCACACGTACGATAGCATGTTAAATATCATGGGGTTTTAGCCATAGAAGAAAACATTTAAGTAACTATTTTATTAAGGCTATTTTATTATCGCATATCCATGCGATTTCCAGCCTTTTCTTCAAAAAGCTCAATAAAGACCCTTCCAAGAAATTCCTCCCAGATTCCTAAATCCTCAGCCAACAGTAGCTCTTCTTTTAAGGGAATGACCTGACTGAAAACTAACTGCATTACAAAAAAAGAAAAAGAAAAGAGACCTCTTCAGACAGGGCAGGTAGGTCCCTGCTGGCAGTGGCAGCCCATGGCCAAGAGCAAGGGCAGTGCTCAGCAGAGCGGGCTGGGTTCCAGCTCCAGCATCAGTCTATTTTGGAATCCTGTTCCTCAGGGGAACCCGTTACTACTGCTGGCCCACATGAGTCTCTCTCTTTTTGGGTGCAGGTCCCCCCCATCCTGTTGTTAGTAACCTCTTAGTGACAAGTGCAGCATTTGCAAAGCAAAAGTAGCTGCTGTGCATGGTAGTGTCCTCATGGGAAATTAACCTGGAACAAGCAGCACCTTATTTTAGATATTATTCTTTCAAGGTGTGTACTAACCTCCTTGCTGACAAGCCCATGGGACAGTGAATTCTCCTGTGTGCGCTAACCACGTGTGGGCAGCCCTCACAGAGTGGCAGCAAGGTGATGAGTCTTATCTTGGCTTCTGGGGAGACGGCTCCTTTGCAGGGGCTGGCAGGAGACAATGTGTTRGTGTGATCCAGCTGCTGCCACCACAGATGGACGGAAGGTTTTGCTCTTGTGTACCTTCTGGGTGCCACCATCCCTTCCTCCCCAGSTCCTGTATCAAGCCTTGATCTCAAATTAAGTGGAAAGAGATAATAAATCACAGCCCCTCTGGCTTGGGCTTTGGTTAGGCAATGCAGAAGTGGTGGGGAAACACAACGGAAAGGTTGCTTCTTGGGTTATGTGGTAGGTGCACTTCYTCCCCTTCTCCCTTCAGAAGAGGGTCACATAGGTGCAATGCAACCACGAGACACATGCAGCCTCTTCTCTTTGCAGAGGAGGTTACTGTTTCTAATCTGTGTGTTTGCAAGTGCACTCTGACCGCRAAACAGGTACACTTCAGCCCTTTCTCAGTAAAGGGGAAGTTGTAACTGACTGTGTATCTAACCACAAATGGCAATTTTCACCCAAAAGAATAGTCCGTTTGGAACATGATGACCACATCCTGTTTCTGCTTGGGCATAAAACTTAAGACTAGGGTACAAAACTAGGCTATCCAAGTTTGAGCTATGTTGTCCTTGGAAGCAGCAGGTCTGCAGTGGAGAACTCTCCCCTCAGGCCAGGATGCTGCCTGAGGTTGAGGGACCTCTCCCATCTTCTTGGGTGAGTGATTTTTGCACATTTGTACATTACAGCTAGCTAAGAATCCCACAGTATAGCAGAGAAATTCCTGTACTGACATCTGAAATCTGCTTAGTAAATACTGCATTTGAATAAATCCTGCTATTCATGAATTCAACTAATCATTTGTAATGTGGCTGCGACAGACTGTGAATCTGGTGCAGCTAGAGTCAGACCTATAGCTACCACAGTATTGGCATCCCTATTAAGAGATGAATGTGTCCAGCCACCCCTAGGCCCTCTAATCTCTGAGAACTGGCTAGAACGCAAGTGGATTCATCTCTTACCAAACTTGTCTTCCTTTCAAACCACAACAGGTTGGTGGGAAAATCCTAATCAGTAGTAGAAATTAGATTTGCAGTGACTTCCCACCGCTGGGCTGGTTTGTTAATTCATGCAAATGCAGCGGAGACAAGTGATTGTTAAAAGCTTCTTCAGACTGTAGGCAGCAAGCAAGCAGTAYAGCTGCTGCTCTTCCCACTCTCAGTCTTTGAGCAAGCACTCTAATTCTTGCACCGTGTGGTTAAGATTTCTGTCTTGTATTTCCTTACCTAGTTAACCAGCTGGGCAGGTTTTGCCAATCTCTCCAGTTGTTCTGGAGAGCAAGAAATCAATTAAAAATGGGTGGGTGTGATTCTCCTTCTAGAGCTGTTTTTATGAGCTGTAGATGACTTTTCTATCAAGATGTCCCAACACATTCAGGCTCTGTCCTTTYGCACCTTAGATAAAGGGAGATATAAGAGATGCTTCTCCTCTGTTGCTCCAACAGCAATTGTGCCTGGGTTTTGAGCAAAGTATTAAACCTGTCCTCTCTCAATGGTCATATAAGACACTGAAAAGATGTATGATACTCTCTCCTCCACAGTATTCTGCCATCTGTAGCTATTTCGATGCCAGGTCTTCCTGAGTCAGATGTGGTTTCACAGAGTTAGYAACCCTTTGTAATCTCTTGCATAAACACAGCCGGTTTCCCAACAAGAGTCTGCAATGGAAACAGAATTTGGATCTGGATCTCTCCCCAGTTCTTGACCTCCTCCACTTGCCCATAATAACCGCTCATCCTCAGAGTTACTTTCAAGTTTGAATTTCAAAATTCTCCTGCACCCAAATTTCTCTGAACTTCCCGGGCTTTGCCTCATCTCCCTGCATAGTATCTTTGGTGATTGCTTCTGGAATCAGGGCTTTCTGAAGAAAACAGGCCCTTCATACACAGTGTGAAATCACAAAAGTATAGGCACCAGGTTAGACTGGATCTTGAGAAACCGATCTTTAAGACGGGTCTAAGCCGTCTTCCACCTCTGGAGCAGGAATCCATCTATTTAAATCATTTCCAACAAGCATTTATCTAGCCTGTTTTTCCAAGTCACCTAGTACAGAAGATTAACACCTTCCCTAGGAAAACAGCTCTAGTGCTTCACTCCTGTCAGTATTGTGGACTTCCCTTTAGAGATATGGGAATATGACTGGATATTCCTGGAACATCTTCACTGTTTCTATCTCCCCTCATAAGTCATAATTTCCAGGGCTATTATTGCTGCAGATCATGGTTGCTCCTTGCTGCACTTAGTTTCATCTCTAAAAAYGCACATGAAAAGACTTCAGTTTCATACCCTCCCTACAGCAGAGGCAGAATATTGAGTGTAATTCAGTGGGGCTAGTGCAATCATGTCATTCAGGGAAATTCTCCAGGAGGTTTAATAAATATCTTAAGCAAAAAGTTATGGAATTAAAATCACAAGAGACAGGCTTATCATCTATCTCCCTGTCTGTATCTGTAGTCCCTCATGTAGTTAAATAGCAGGAACGTGCTGATTTGAGGACCCCAGCCTGCCTGCAGACAGCTTTTTATCTGGTCTGAAATTAAGTCCAATAAGAAATGAATTTTAATCCTGAACTGGCTGCAATTAGAAATTTGACTTCTTTGTAACATACTGTCTGTAACTCCAGATCCTTTCTGAACTGAAAATCCATTTTAAAGCGAGTGTACTCTTCTCCCTTCTCCTCTTGTGATGCCAGCTTTATGGACATGGGAGTAACCAGTCTTTTATTCAGCCTAATTCATCTCAGACATTTATGTTGAAGGCAGAATGTTGCTCAAACAAATTCTGCACTGGAGACATATCTGATAGACAGGCAAGCCAGTCTTTTCCTATAGCTTGCATACTCAGAACCAGGGAGAGATATGTAGCAATCTTCTTGTAAAAGAAAAGGAAGTATTTTTTTCTTTGAATGAAAAAAAAAACACCCACCAGTGCTAGCACACTCTGGCATCTGTACTTTTGAGAGTACATGCTTCCTCAAACAACACTGACATACCCATTTCCCTTCAGTTTATAAAATCCCTTGTGACAGGGATTTTATAAATCCCTGTGCTGTCTTCAGCAAGAGTTGGTGGCTCCCTGTCCTTACATCCCATCAGCATGAAAGTGTCTCTTGGTCTCAGCCTCCTCCTGACTATCCTCGACCCAGGTAAGTTTTCTGCCAGAATTGGCAGAGTTGTCCTGGGAATTGTTTTTCAGTGAATCTTTTCTTGTCATCTGAGCTGTAGGCAGTCCCCTAGCCCTGGGAGATTCAAGGCAGTGAGTGGTGGAGCAGGGTGGAGCAGGGAATCTTTGATGCTATGATCCAACTTGCAGGTGGAGATGTAGGTGTCTACACTGAAGGCGGCTTTCGGAGCTCCCACAGTGGTCACTAGCACTCTAGCCAGGGCAGTCATGAGAGTCTAGAGAGGGATTCAGATTATGCTAAAACAGACAGACCTTTGGTTGGTTGAATCAGTCTCTAGCCATCACTGACATAAATGTAGATGTTCAATGGATTTGCTCACATCATTGATCTGGTGACATTTTAGGTAAGAGTGTGTGTCAGAGAAGGCAAGCTGTTTGACTTCTCTCCAGAAATTCTTTATTTGTCTCCAAATGCTTCCTGATCATTGCCTGATATTCTGGTTCTGATTAAGATGCTCTAGTCTTGGAAAAGAAAGCAGAAAAGAAGAGCTACATGGTTCTCACTTTGTTGATAGCATAYTCAAGACCTACTGACAGCCTCTAGTTCTCCAGTGCTTCGGCTGCCCTGCTCACTGCAAAGACAGWAAGATTTGGGAGCTGGAAATCCAGAAGATGCCTGAATGCCTCCCAGAGCAGAGAGGATTTGGCTCCTATTTCTTTAGCATTCCCAGCAATCATAATTAACCCCCCATCCCTTTCCTTCCCCTCCCCACATTGAGCAATGGAACAGGAAAAATAAAGGAAGAAGAACTTGGAAAGTGCTGTTCAAGTGCTAGAACAAAATGTGAATAAAGGGGGAAGTGAAATCTCCTGTGGGTGCTATCCAAGAATGTGTCCTACTTCCTTCCTTAGGGACCACTCTTCAGTGTGAGGTTTGTCACAGCTTAGGAAAATCCTGCTCTGGTCCCCTGAAAGCCTGCAATGCTGATGAAGATACCTGTGGCACCATGGTGCATGAGGCCACGATAGGTAGGTGAGAAGATTCCTGTGGCTATTTACCAGTGCAGCTTTCAGAAAAGGGTTGGGGAATGGATCTCCCTATCTCGGCCTTATAGTAACTCTTCAGATGAGTTATTCCTTTTTTTTTTTTTTTTTTTTTCAAAGAGGATGCAGGTCTGGGATGGGAAAAGCATGCTATTTCTCCATCTTGAGGAACACTAACCTATCTGGAGAGCTTAGTTCTGAGTTGTGGAAGGGAGAGACCTAAACAGCAGTCTAGAAGTTGAGGTTGGCTTTTAATTCTAGCTAAGCTGAGTAGCTGGGTCAAGGGACTGGGTTGCCAGGGACTTAAGTTGCTGACCTCTAGCACTGTGGGTTGCTTGGCCATGATAATGGAGGGAAAAAATGGCCTGCATCTGAGTCCCTTCCCYGAGCAAGGATGGAGACCCCAAGTAGCCTGTTGGCCCTACTGGCACTGGGCATATCCCCACAGTTGTCACTCTAGCGCTGGGTGCTGAGGTCATACACAACTATACTATCTGCTGCGTTAGTGGTTTGGTCTTAGTCATTACCCAGCCTCACTAGTGTGACCATGTTTGTTTAGACTGGGAGCCGGCTCCTATCCTGCTAGGCTTGGTGCCAGAGTTTCTACTCTATACTTGCACAAAGAAACCCTTATCTTTTCAGGGCTGATGAGGACTCAAGTGAGTGCATTTCTGTAATCATTCTGCCCCTCCTGTTAAGCYTTTTGAGTCTGGCTCATGTGAAAGACTAGGTTTGTCTGCAGGAGGATGCTAGCTGTGGTGCTTTGCAGCTAGCGGTGCTTTGTGGACAGCACATCAAGAAGTTGGGTTATGGGTCAGATGTCAATGGATTACCCCATAAGTTCTTGGGTTGGGGCATAATAACTAAGATGAATATCTGCAACACACTAGTTATCCAGGAGCAACTGTATCCTTCTCCCTTTAAACATGTTGTGGAAAAGGAGAAAATCCTTATTCATGTCCCAGATATGTCTCTCACTGGGTCAAAATCACCTTAGTTCCTCTGAACTGATTTGACTTCACCAGATTCCTCAGTGTTGCCTTCAGAGTGGTTCTGTTATTTGCAAACCCCTGTCGGGATGTGGGGAAGACCAAATAGCAGGCAGTGAAGAGACAGAGAAGTTCCTGCTCTGGGAAACAGAGGGAATTACCTCGTAGTTAATGACTTGGCACTGACCTCTCCTTTGTGGCAGGGGGGATGGTAATTTCTTCATCCATCAAGACCTGCCTGCTGTCCAATGTGTGCCATCTGGGTGCTGTCACCATGAACTATGGGAAAGTCAAAGGAAGAACTGGCTTGGCCTGCTGCGTGGGTGAAGCCTGTCAACAAACCTCACCTTCATGTAAGTCACTTGTTTCTTCCCTGTCACCTTATTGTCTCTGCCTATCTGAGACTCTGTTGTTCTTGCTGCTGGCAGAATAGACTTTTGCACGGGGGTTTAAAGAAGTTATGGGTGATGAGGCCCTTCACTTTCTCTCCTTTCCTTATTAAAATCAGTCTCTTTCCTCCCAGTGCCACCAGTGAGCAACGTGCCCAATGGATTACACTGTCCTGCTTGCTACAGCCTAGACTCCTTCAGCTGTGGTAATGAAACTGTAAATTGCACTGGATCTGAAACGCAATGCATTGAGCTTGCTGGATTGATGAATTCTGGTAAATATCTTTTAATTTGGGCTGTCATCTTTTTGGTTAAAATGATGAAATTAGGAGGAAGCATTTCAGGAAAATGAGAGGAGTCATGAGAAGGCCAGAGAGGGCAAGAGATGAATAAATCCATGTTGTACCATCACACAACCATTATTTCTTCAGGAATATCTCTACCTGAGAGAAAGTAAACAAGTTTAAAAGCTTTTCATCAGCTTTACTCAGAAGAAAGCAGGGAAAAGCAAACAGTTCCTTTGTATTTCAGGTCAACCAGGGTGACCTCCCCGCTTCTTCAAACACTTTTGGGGAGGGGATTGGAAAGGAATGGATTGGTGAATTTTGTAGTCAATTGGATGTAAAAAATTGAGAGAGCTTAGGGAGCAAACCTAGCCTTCAGTGACCAAGGAGGGAACAGCTGTGATGGCTGGTTTCCCTGTTACATGGTATGTACTTCTCCTATGCAGGTGGACTATCTATGAAAGTTGCCATGAAGGGCTGCACCACTCTTACCGAATGCAGTGATAAAGGAGAAGGAAAAAAGCAACTGGGAATGATAGACATGAAAGTAAAGCAGTTCAAATGCAAACCAGCCTCTCTTTTGGCCATAGCAGTTTCCGGGCTCCCCCCTCCAAAATCCCTCTTTCTTCCTGTCCTGTCAGGATTAATCCTGGATAAGATACTTTTCTGATACTCTCTAGGACTGGCATAGTAAAAATCATTATAAAAGTCTACCAGTCATTTGCACAGATTCCTGTTTGCTCTGACTACTTCTGCATGGAGGTTTTCAGATCAGCTCTTGCTCTCCTTTTTTTTTTTTTTTTTTTTGCAGAATAAAGACAGTACTTACACACTCTTTGTTTTTTGATTGTTTTAATGTGATTTAAAGTTCCATAGATTCTGAGTGTGTTTTCCACATCAAGACCTGGGGAGACTGTACAGCTACTACATAACTACATACTACTACACAACTACTACATAACTACTGACAGGATAAGAAGAAATGGCCTCAAGTTGCACCAGGGGAGGTTCAGATTAGATATTAGGAAAAAAATCTACATGGAAAGAGTAGTCAAGCATTGGAACAGGCTTCCCAGGGAAGTGGTGGACTCACAGTCCCTGTCAGTGCTCAAGAAACATGTAGATGAGATGCTGAGGGACATGGTTTAACAGACATGGTGGTGACAGGTTTACAGTGAAGGTCTCTTCCAACCATAATGGCTCTATGATTTTATGCACATRGTACCTCTATACTACCCAGGCAACAGGAGTTCTCATGACAGCCTTACAGTCCAAATCCCTTGTCTCAGTGAAAGCCCCCTGTATTTGKCTAGCCAGTTTGCCAGGCTTTGGACAGGAGCTGAAGTGAGCTCCTGAGAGGTCCACTCTGGTTAGAATGAACCTYCTTTTTCTTTCCTACCTTTAATCTTAGGTGCCCATGGTAGAACAGAGGGCTGCTTGCGGCCTTCAAGCAGTCATGAAGTAGTCTCTATTTCGGAGCAGGCAGTGACCCTTTGCTACAAACAAACTACTCCTGACAAGACCCTTTGACCTCATGGTTATTATTTGTGCCTTACCAGCTATGCTACTCCTGTTTGACTCCAGATTTCAGGATTAACCAAAGTAAGCATTTGCCTTAGGTTCGATTTGATCAGGATTGGCTTGATTTCATAAAATAACCAATTTTCTCTGGTGACAGACTGATAGGGGCCCAAGCAATGGCAATTTATAGCCCTATGCCTAGTTTGCTCCTACTGGTCAACCTGGTCAAACTACAAAATTAACTGTCCAAGTTTCCCTTCTTAAATATGGGTCTGCCACCACCAGCTTCTCCAGATATGCCTGCCCTGCTGGCTCTCCTCAGGTGGGTCCAACACAAAGGCGCTTAGGAAAATAGCACATCAGGCAGCATTACAGTATCCAGGAGGTAGTATGGGCTGGGGGCAAGAGGATAAGGAAGTGTACAGCAGGGTGTACAGTGTAAAACAGATGCTTGTAATCTTCAGCTTTTGGAAAAGGCTATATCCATCTGTTCCCAGATGAGTGCAACTCACTAGAAAAGGGTAGCCCATTTTTGGAAGAGAGAGCAAGATTATTAAGCAAAGTTCATGTTTGTGTCTTTCCATAATAGTTCTAGTTTGCAGTGCAAATTTTGTATTCTGTACAAAGAGTCACAGAGATCAAGCAAYGCAATTTTATCTTTTAATTCAATACTGTGGCAGTCAGTGCTATGGAAATTTTTGGCTGCCTAAACCAAAATAATATGTGGCAACAGTGAGGTGATTACACCTTCTTCCCAAACAAACTGAAGATCCTTTCATTCTACTATTCCCACCAATTAGTTGGGAGAGAATTTCACATTATCTATGACAATATAGGGGCGTGGGTATGAAAATGAAAATTAATTTTTGGGGTGGGGAGTGTACTGATAATGTAGATTTCATGCAGGGAAAAGAGTCTGGTTATGCACAGTTAATTATTTGCAGAGGCAGTGCAGTTACAGCGTGGATGTTAGGAGAAGGAGCACACTCCCCTTGATGGGGCTCCAGTAGACTGATACTGGAGCTACCTACTTGTTCAGCACTTTTCCAGATCTGATAACACCCTGGAATTAAAACAATTCTCTATCTGTGTGAGTACCTTAGCCCTGAACACAACCTGTGTTCTGCTGCACATTCATGCAGAACACAACCTTGCTGTCTGTGGCATCCCCCACGGCAGATCTCGATCCGGGTCAWTGGTTTAACCCTTCGCTCTTTTGTTTGTTCCACCTTGATTTGTGATGCTATCAGGATGGAAAAGCTAAATGTTTTTTTTTTTCAGCTTGGTCAAGGAGASAGTGAGAAATCTCCAGAAAGTCAAGGTGCTGAGGTGGCATTTAGGGGAGAATAAAGAGGAGTAAGGCAGACAGCAGTGTTTCTGACAAGGGTTTGTGGTACAGAGAAGAGAAGCAACTCAGTCCTTCTTGTAGCCAAGACAGCTGTTGCAATCTGTGGCTACATAAATGGAAAAGTGATAAGTGGGAGTAACTCTGTGTTTTTATGATTGTTAGGTCAATTCTTGGTCCTTTTCCAGCATCCACATTTTTAAAGGCTATTAAAATGGAGAGTGTGAAGAAAAATGCCTTACAGCAAAAGTCTTCGGGGTTGTAAACTGGTGATCTGATGAAAGAGAGGATAGACAGGTGACTTGTTTACAGATTATGAACAAACTTATATGGAAAAAGGATAAGATCTTAAAGAGCTCTTTTATATACCAGAGAACATCAGAAAGCTGACAAACCCAAAGGAGGAAAAAGTCAYATAATTACTGCATGTAGCCTGCATTAGAGTAAACCTCTAAGGGTTTCACAAGGGAAATCACAAGCTTTTGATGTCTGCAAATCCTGCATGAAGGCCTGCAAGAAACAGATGTTTTTCTTGCAGACAGGTTATAGACAGTATTAGAGGCAGTACAGGCACAATTGGTAGAAATGTGATAAACTGGGGTATGCAGGAAGATGATGAGCTGATGACCTCTTCTGATCTCAAGTCTGGCTCCTGGGGAGGGAAATGAAGCTGGAGTGTGTTCTGATAAAAGCAAAACAAAAGATAGAAGAAAATTGGTGGCACTAATTTACAACCACAAATCAAACAACGGGATCTTGAGCAAGGAGTTATGAATGAGCAATTCATAGGCCTCTAAGGATGTGCAGGGTGTGAACACCAAAGAATGAGGCATCTTCAGCAATTCTCTTTAAAATAGTCGCAGGGGTGAATATGGGAAGCTCCATTGTTTATAGGGTTTAATTGAGGATATGTAGCAGGCAGCAGCCTTGATCTCATAGGGATGTTGGAGAGGAGCAAAGAAAGATGTGGCCAAAACTCATTGTAGTAAACAGAATGACTCCCGCTGATTTTAATGAGCTTGGAACCAGGCCTAAGACACCAAACTGGATTCTTGCCATCTGCAGCTTCTCTTTGTAATGTATACAAGCCTTACTCCCACATAGACACACACATATAGACATGTAAATACCAGATCCTCCCTTAGATCTTGCAGACACTTCACCAAACAGGCATGCATGATAYGGGCAAGCACCAGACACATACAGCTCTGTATGGCTGGAAGACACCTGCCTTGCCCACAATAAGACAGCTTTGATCTCCATTTTCGCATAGCAGACACAGAACATTGCGTTTTCTCCCCACACGATGGAAAATTAGCAATGTCTTGCCATTCCCTCTCCTTCCTCTGAAGTTCCAGCTTTCTGACCAGAAAGCCTGGTGGCAGTCAGAAAAACTGCCAGTGACTTGAGATAGAGAGGTGCATGTGCCCAATGGGGTTTTAATAGAACCAGGTTGAGAGAGGATCTGAGTTGTATGTGAGGTGGACAGCGAAGATGTGGGGCAGGAATCAGAGAAGATGGGAAAAGGAAGCTTCACATTGTGCAGGCATACGCCATGCAAGACCATTATCTGATACTAAAACATCCTTAGTTCCTCCTCTCCAGCACACCTGGAGCGGGGAACTGTCTTCCTTTCATTTCCTAGGATATCTTCCTGCCTTTCAAATCAGGAAGTTAGGACACTGGTAGCCAATGGATTTCTCTTCTTTCTGGTTAAAGCATGTCCTGGGCTTTTATTTGCAAAGGAATGTGAAGTTATTGCTGTATTTCTTTTACATCATGACCATGGCTCTTATGAGAACATTTGTCAAGCACTTATGCCAAGAAGTCCTGTAAGCATTTTGGGAATTACACCTTCTCAAAGACAAAATAAGAACAAATGTTGAATGAACAAGGGTTCCWTATAGTCATCAAGATTATGTGTCATGCTGTTTACAAGAGACTAAAGAATTCGTCCTTATTCTTACAAGAAGGAACTACAGCCCGTGGCTATCTAATCAAATGTGGGATTATGCAATGGGTTGCTGTCTCCATCTGAGCATGTTACCAAACTCCAGCAGAGATTAAATCAGTATAGCCCACTGAGATGAAGTCCTGCCTCTAGTCAGATGAATCACACCACCAGTCCCCATTTGTACTGAGTGGCCCACCACTGTCCATGCCACTGACAGAAGCACCTCTATTGTAAACACCTTGTAGACACTTCTATTGTAGACAATAATAGGGGAAGCAGCCCAGCGTTTTGTCTTCTCCATCGAGATGTTTTATCATAAATTTGTGGAGCAGAGAGAACAAATGCTCCATAGTCCTCTGTGCATGGCCTCATCTCCTAAGTCCATAGGCTTAGATTTCACTGGATTTCACACCTGGATTACCAAGTTCTCATGCGTTTGCTCCTCTTTTTTCAACCAGGACATTAATTCTGGAATGTATACTGTCAAGAATGGTCCCCATCCCCATTGATGTCATATGGAAGAAGTCTCTCTTCGTATGCATATCTTAATAGTGATAGAGCATTTTGTTCAAACTCAAGGGAGTTCTCATGTGGATAAATGAATGAAAATAAATTTGCCCCTGCATCTGTCTTGGAGTAACTTATCAAAACATCTATCCTAAGCAATCCCTAAGGCTTGTGTCTTAATGAGAAAAGATCTGGTGTTTGAGTCAGTTCCAGAACTGCATACTTGTTTGTTGCCACTGGGAACATAATCTTTCTAATTTGGGGGACTGCTGGTCACAGGAAGGAAAAGCTTCCTCCAGCAGTTTTTCACCTTCCCTGGTCACACTTCGTCTGATTTTGTCTCCAGAGAACAAATTCTTGGGCCTCCTGCCCATACAGGCGTATTATTGCTGTAGAGACTTGAGATTTTCTGCTCTGGAAGAACCAGGTAACCCCTATTTTCCAAGCAGGTTTCTGTTGGGCACATTCTAG